AAAGCAAAATACCCCAAAACTGCATTCAAATATCTAGTAATTACTCAACTCAAGTCTCAGCATTAAATGTATATAAAATATGCTTTTCTGCAGAATATACTGTCATAATTCTACTATAAACATCAATAAAACTCTCAATTTCCTGTTTAATTCAGGCATAGGACACCTGTGACACACGAGCAACAGACGCAATGGAAAACTACATATTTTATTTATTTAATATGAATGAAGGTCACCACTTTGAGATACAAATGTCCTGACAGAAAGCCTCGTCTGACTCTAAATGTTTGAACACGCAGATCTGTGAGACAGAAGTAAAAGCTGCACAAGATTTTAAACATGCCACAGTGTTTAAACAGCACTGTTGATAATGCATCACCTCTGAATTATTAACCGTCGCGTGTTCTCCGCTAATGAATGCGTTTCTCTCTCTGTATTTAGTTATTCTGCGTCTGAATGGGTCCGTCTCTGCCTCTTTTTCCTGCCACTGTATCTAAAACAGTGCATTAACATCTGCAGCCCATTTAGTGCTGCTGACACCAGGCTAATAACAGTGTGTGTGTGTGTGTGTGTGTGTGTGTGTGTGTGTGTGTGTGTGTGTGTGTGTTAGCGCGTAGCTTAAGCAGCAGCCAACTAGCACAGCTGAAAGGTGTCACCGAGGCTCCTACGCCTCCTCTAACAGTTACTGATTCAGGGGGCGCTTGCTTTTTTCTTCTTCTTCTGTTTTTTTGTGTGTGGCTTCAAGCTACCAGCTTTAAAGGAACATTCAGCAGAAATGCTGTATGTGTTCGACATCCAGTTGGTTATTTGGTTGGTTGTTACCAGACGTAATCAAACGCCTCAGAAGGCCGACGACGCCAACACCTGAGGGACTATTTCTTCGTATTTAAAAGCGGGAGTGACGAGGCGTGGCTGTTAAATACCAAAATAACAATCGCCCTCGCTCATTCTCCCACTCACTCTTTCTCTGCATTGTTATTTGTCCGTTTGACAATTATTGATCTTTTACAAATATTTTTCAAGGTATCTTAATTACCCGCAAAAGAAGCGGCGCCTTGGCCGGCGGACAACACAAATAAGTTAATTTGCATTTCTGTGTTGTGAGTGTTTTGGCAGCCGCCATGCCGGTCCAGATTGTAACCCCTATTTCTGCCTCCAAAAACCTGCCTTGGAGGAGCGTCCACGGAGGGATTAGGGATTTAGTGGGGAAGGTAAGTGTGACTACAAGCTTTGGCTCGCCATCTGCTCCCCAGCAGAGTTGAGGCCAACCTGTGCAGCCTGCAGCAAAGACCTGGGCACTGTGCTAACTCTGGTTTGAGCCAACCTGGCGCCCGCGGCCCCAATCACCAACAGTCTGCTGATTAGTTGTAAGAAGCACTCCATATGTAGCAAAGTTTTTTTTTTTTCCTCCCTCCTCTCGTTCTGTGTGTCTCCTTCCCTTCCTTCCTCTCCTCCTTATGTATTCCCTCGCTGCATTAAATAAATATGGATGTATGGAATCTTTTTTTTTTTTTTTAGCAAATGGCGGATGGCCTTGGGTTGTCTGGCAGGGAGAAATGGAGCCTGTTCTTCTAGCTCTTTCTCCCTCTCACCTCTGACAGAATACCAAGCCAGGGAAGGGAAAAAAAGATGAAGAAGAAGAAATCCTGGCTGTCGTCCTCTCTTCTTCTCCTTCCCTCCCTTGCTCTCTTTTGCCTGGCAGCGCCGGGAGACAGATGACAAGGGTTTGTGGCCGCCTGATCACCCCTGGGTGGGTATTTTCTAATTTATTTAACGGCAGCTTATTAAAGAAAAAACAAGATGAAGAGGAGGAGGAAGAATAGAGAACACAGGCGGAAGGCAGGTCTCTCGCCCCAGTGGCCAGGGGAGTCGACCCAGCCAAGGAGAAGGACCAACGAAGAAGAAGAGGATGCACCGACTCCCCTGTTAGAGATATCCGAGAAGATCAAACGACACCAGAGGAGGAGGAGGAGGAGGAGGAAGAAAAGGAAAGGAGGGAAAAAAACACAAGAAACATAATGCTCATTATTTAATTGCAGCCATTCCTGTTGCCAGGAACCTATTTCTCAGTATTAATTATTCATATTTTATTTCAGTAATCCAATACTCAGGTGAGAGCGGCTGCTCTTGATAGAACATGTAATTTGGAAGCTTAATGGCAGCCGGGCGGCCTGAGCAGAGGATTATAGGAACAGTATAAATCACTAATGGCTGCGCGGATGTACGGCGGCTTGAATCCGTCTTGCTTTGTGTTTACTTGTGTTTTATTGCGCTACGTTGCTCCGAGGGAAACACTTTGCCGTGACCTTTTCTCCACAACGTGAGAGAGAGAGAGAGGGTGGGATAAAAATATTTAAAAAAATCATGCTTTCCAGGCAAAAATAAGGCAGTGTAATGTCCTGATTTGTCTAAACAAAGAGTTCATCAGCATCTTTCTCTGGCTGACAGTGAATATACAAAAGCAGAGAGCAGAGGAGGCCTGACATGTTTGCAAATGCACACATGGCCTGATTCATACAAATTATGTTTTTCAAGCAGAATAGCACCATCACTTACTTTTGATCCGATTAGCTTCATTCTCTCGTCTCCTGGTTTTCCTCCTGCTGCATAAAATGCGTCTCATCGTCTCCCCAGCACCTCCATTTGTCTGCTTGATGAAACACTTCACCATAACAATTTATGGACCTGCAGGAATTTGGGGAAGATTATAAACATGCAGCGTGTTTTGTCAGCTGACTGTAAAGCCCGAGGCCGTGCCTTTTTTTTATTTTATGCTCCGACATAAATGTCTCTGTCACCTCCTCCTCATCGCTCAGACAGGCCGACAGTGCTGCTTCTCACCCAACATATTCTCTGCTGAAATGTTTATTTTAATCCAAAAACAGATTATATAAGAATCCCTGCTTGTTACAATAAGAACTGTTTATATCACATTTACTTGAGAAGGTTTTTGTAACCCTTGGACACGAGCTAGGCTAGCTGTTTCCCCTCGTTTCCATGCTTTACGCTAAGCTAAGCTAACAGAGCTCTCGGAAAGAAAGCAAATGAGCATTTTTTTTGGGAAAGGTGATGCTCGTCATCCTTATTTAACTAGTCATTCTGGCTAAAAACGCCTCAGCCAACAGGAAGTGATGGCTGAGTGTAAACCAGTGGCGGCCGGTTGGCTACTATCCCTACTTTTTTATCTTCAAGCTAAAAATTAAGCATTAAAACAATATATATTTTTTGAAATTATCACTGCAGACTCTGGATATAAACCTTATACATTTGGGAATCAACCAACATGGTGTCAATATTGTGTTCTGGTTGTTGATTGGTTTGGAAGGACGTCATCATTTTACATGTTTTGTCCAATAACACAACAGTGTTTATTTCAAACACTCACTCTTTCGATATTTTGATCTCCTGCCTCTCAGAAATAGAGGAGCAACCTCCGGCCTCCTCTGGTGTGGACCTCCTGTCCATGTAGTGATGGATCTACTTTATCTTTAAAATGCACACGTGATGAGCATGTTTTTTTGACAGGACACGTTCTTGTGGAGACAAGGTGCTGCGCAGCATTCAGCCAATGAGGTCATAGAGTATGCACACATCATGCATGCTCTCTGGTCTCCCGCAATTTGGGCAAAGAAAAAAAGTAAAGGTCAGCCACGTTAGTCAGATTGCGCTCGACAAATTCTAAAAAGGCTCAGTGGTCACGCCGAATGTATTCCCTGCAACATAATTAGCCCCCTCAATTCCCCGTCGTGCCAGGCTACCGGGTGTCTCAAATGCCCCACCCCTTCCCCCAAAATGCCTTTCACCTCTGCCTGCTCTGCGGTGATGCCCCCCTCCCCCTCTCATCGCTCCATCACACATTGTTGCTACCCTAAACTTGCTGCAGATGCGGTCGGCTGATGCATAAATTAGTCATCAACATTAGCATTAGCCGGCGCGTGGCACCCGGTGCCAACTGCTCTCCGAACGGCCATAAAAGGTCATGTTTTGATGACTGAATGCCACACAGGCACCTTGGCTCCCCGGAGGAGGGTTCCCCAGGTGCACGTGAAAGGTTAAAAATTACCTACCCGCCGCTGCCTGTCTCTGGCGAAGGAAATAATTAGGGGGTTTTTAGGGAGCGGCAGAATGCCTCGCTGTCAGATGACAGAGCGTTACCTAATGGTCGTATCTGGGGAAGAGTCAACCGGCCTGTCATTCTCTTGACAGGACAAATGAGCATAATGGTGGCAGGGAAATGGGCGCCTGTTCCCCCTTTTTTTTCAGCCGGGGAGGAGGGGAGGAGGAGGGGGGAGAAATGGCAGCGCCTGAGCAGAATAACACAAGGACGTTAACCTTTTCCATAAATCTGTTAACACGTGTATGAGTGCTGTTTAAAAGTGAGGCTTGATGCTCTCCTCCTCTGAGCCCGTTGGAGTTTTTTTACTCCTGTTTTCTGCTTCAATTACTTCTAATATGTTTTTATGTTATTGCTGCACCAAACTAGACTCCTGTCATGTAAACTTAGATTTGTCCTGGAGCTGCAAGAGAGCAGAAAAACCAGCACAAAGTGCAACCGGAGCACGATGAAATACTCTGCACACAATGTAGTATTTCTAAAATGCAGTAAATACTTTAAATGTGAACGTTGAATCAGAACCAGATGCACTAAAGAAAAATGCACATTTTCCACTGACTTTCCAAACACAACACTTCCTGTAGATCCCTCATAATAAATGATAAGTTTTACTTTAAGCCATTTTAGAAACTGTTGAGGAAAAGAACGTGGGAAGTCTGGCATTCAGGGCTGTGAGGTGGTGCATGCAGCCGGTTTTATTTGGCCAGAGAGGATTGATGGTTCAACCCTCCGAGGCAGAAGGGGGCAGTAGTGCACCTCAGTGTCATTGCAGTAGATTAGCTCAGATGGACCTTTTCCGCTGCTGCTGTTTGTGGTTCACTTCCTGTTTGAGTGAACCACAAACACAAAGAAGAAACACCTTCCACCTGCACAAACACTCCTCTAACTAGAACCCTGCAACCTGACAGCAGACTGAGGATCAGAGGTAAACAAGCTGCACCTGTTACCTCACCTGAACACACACTTTGGTTTCTGTCAGTAGAGGGTGAAGCCGGAGAGACAGACGGGTGAGGAGAGAAACCAGAAATCCAGCCTCCCTGGGACGGTGACGCTCCCCAAGCTGCTGCTTCGGTATGTGCCGTTTTATTGGATGTTTCCTTCACTTGATGCAATCCGTGATCAAAGTTAGTGGTTTAAAGATGCCTCACAGTTTATAACATCACATCCTATTTTAGTTTGAAAATCCTAAATTGAACCCATAATCCTTTGCACCTTTAACTGAGAAAGAAACTCCATGTTGAAGCGACGTTTATTAAACCGAATCATCTCTGAGGTCTAGATTTGAAATCGGGATCATGTTGTGGCCTAGATGAGGACTCGGGTGGATCTGGATTAGGCCCAGCTGTGCTGGTCTCGTCTAGACTGATCTCCTGTCAGCTCTTCACACCTCTGATCAGCCTCGGAGGTGCAGTTTAATCCTCCCTGTGCCACATCCTGCATGCTAACAGAGGGGTTATTAACATAACAAACTTAAATGCCCTATATAAATAATATGTTCGCAGAAATGCAAACCGGCTCAGCTGACACTGTTTAGGCAGCGCCTCCAACATCTGTTTATGAGCACTTTGCCTAATGATATCATCCGATATCATTAACTGTGGCAGTGCGCGCCACAGCAGCAGGTGCAGCTGTTTGTGCCCCCCCAACACCTCCCCAGCACACACACACACACACACACACTTGAAGAGAAAAGACTTTCACAGTCTCCTCCAGCACCAGCACCAACCCTTCCCTCCCCTCCACCCCACCAATCGCCAAACCGCTCATTAGGACAATTTTCCTCAACAAAAAAGCGGCCCCTATGATTTCAATCTGTATATCACCTGTAATTGTAGTTTTTAGCGAGAGCCTGATTCCATACATTTAGCGGGAGTAAACTGCGACTGCGGGTGCGAGCGCTGAAATGCGGCCGCCAGCTGCAGAAGCTGTTTTTAGATGGCAGCCGCTCTCATAGGCCTCGCTGTATGTGTGTGTGTGTGTGTTTTCCTGGGGGAGGCGGAGCTTGGCGGGCCCCAGCTTTGTTTCCTGACTTGGTTCGCTCTGTTTAGATGCTGGAAATTATAGAAAATTATTGAAATCATCATTTCTGGCAGCAACAATGAGGCAGCTTCCTCTTCCTGACCGGAAGGCCACGTTCAGGGTGTTCACAGGTTCTCTGGAGCCCGGTTTGATCGTACGCCGCTGTAATTAGTCAGATGGTCCATTCAAATGTTGTGCGACACAGAGCTATCTGTTGCATTAGCACTGCACCCGAGGCGAATGCAGTATTGTTATATCCAAAACAAACAATGCATTTCAGGGAAGGAACCAAAATAAGAGCTCTCTGTGGTCAGGTGCTCCCAGTCGTTCTTTATTTTAACCCTTTGCGCTAACTGATTGCAATGTGTTTCTTTCATTCTACAAAGGTTTGGTAGGGTGCAGGTCTGTGTGTCTTAGTTCAGCTGGTGCATCTTAAGTTAAGGATAAATGACGTGTATTGTTCCTCTGCTTGATGGATGGTGGCGCATCGTGCTGCTGTTGGTGTTCTCTCGTGCTTCGGGTCGGCTGCATTTGTTCTGAGGATCTTTAAATGGATGCTTGTTGGGTTTTATGAGAATGAGCCGTGAAAGCTGCGACTAAGGGCCCAAAAGTTGCAAAAAAATCCTGGTATGCTCCTTTTAAAAGGAGCCCATACAAATGGTGCTGATTTAAAATACAACGTAAACGTAATGACAGGCTGTGATTTCCACTTATTCTTTGATACTTTGAAACTGTAAATATTAACATCCGTCTTGAGCGTTTCTTCTCTTGCAAATGTGAAATTCCTCGCTCTGACAGTTCAGCCCAAAGTCGGGCATGTTGGCACCCAGAGGAGGAGTTTTATTTGCAGGCAGAGACCCCGACACTGAACCCTCTCTGAGCGCTGAGGGCCAGCAGGGAATACACACCGACCACACACACTCACATCTACACTCGCTAACGCTGCAGAGGCCGTTTACACGAGCACACACATACGAGAGATCAGATGTATCCGAACGTGAGAAAACACGCATGTACACACACACACACACACACACACACTCCTCCTTCCAGCTGTTCTCTAAATGTTGATTACACGAGACACCGGGGGGAGCTGCCTCCTCCTTCCCCTTCCTCCCTCCCTCCTCAATCCGGTAGCCGGGCGATTCCCCCACAAGGAGGCCGAGCGGGACCGGCTGACCCGAGGTGTTCAGTGACCCGGGGTTGGGGGGGTCCAGAGAGGGCCGCGGCCCTGGGGCCTCTTGGCTGGGCTCTCCTTCCCCCTTTTCCTTCCTTCCCTCAGCTCTGTGAGCAAGCAGCACATCTCAGGACGGGAGACACGGGCAGAGACAGAACAACGGCCCGGGGACAACTGGCCGAGGAGCAGAACGCAAAAAACAACAGATTTAAATCATAAAAGTCCTCCTCTGTCGAGATGCTCGGGTAACTTTGTGTCAAGAGAAACGGAGACGGGGAATTAAAGTGCGATGATTTATATCTAATGTGAATGTTTTCAGCCGTTGGAGGCATTTATCCAGCAGGAGAATAAGATTAAACTGCACGAGGCAACATACTTTTCATCAGTCGAAATCACCAAGTGGAGATTTCACTCTTTGGACTCAAGTTATCTGCAACCTCATTGGCAACAACGAGCTGCATCAACTTTATTTATTTAGGTCGAGTTGTAAAACGAGATGAAGAATTGTTACCTTACTGTGTGTGTGCACGGAGAAACATTCTGATAAAAGAAGTTCAATCTAAAGCAATCCACTGATAAAGTTTCCTGCTGGATGAGTAGTTTCTGTCCCATTACTGAGCTTTTATAGCTTCATATTCCTGCTGTTGTCGGTCGCAAAGCCGTATTTCTCCTAAAAGAAAAACAAGAAAGAAGTGAGAGTTTTAAGACTGTTGCACCTGGTGACGCTGTTGCGTTTAAACGCTTCATCCACCCTAAAGTTGTGCAGTGAACATCAGTTCTCTGTGTGTGTGTGTGTGTGTGTCATGTGAAGGTAACAGAGCGCAGGACGGACTTCTGTGTTCAGTACCGACGAGAACAAACGGATTGTCTTTGGTTTGTGACGTTGGTGCATGTTCGAGAAGCCGTCATCTCGATTTAAAAGATCAGGAGCAAAAGCAGCAGCAGAAATTAACATGTTTTATTCCAAATACTTCCAGAATAAGAAGTCAAAAGGCATTTTGCACTTTTATCTTTTGTGGTACAAGGAAAAACGAAATGTTAAACCTTGTTTTGAGCAGACCGAATTAGCATCTATGTTCACTCAGCATTCAGTTCCTGCATCAGCTGTCTGTTGGCCTGAACTTCCTGCTGGTTAATGTATGCTCACTGTGCGTTTGCACGACCTGTCTGAAGTGATTCCTGACGGCCTTGTTTAATTAGCCGCGTGTGTGTGTACTTTTATACATATTCATCGGCTGCAGATTTCAACCCGATTGATGTTGTAATTGATTCAGAAGGTTTTATAATTCCCGCAAAAGCAGACCAAGAATTTCAATGACTTTGCAATTTGGGGTCTGGGAGGGAGGGGGTGAGGGGGTGAGGGGGAGATCTGAGGGCGCTGCGTCTCCACCTGAGGACGGTGTGATTTCTATCGTTTTACAGAGGAAAAGAGGGCGAGAGAGGAATGTCAGCTGCTTTGTTGTTCCTGTTTCACGAGTAAATTACACATTTAGGATTTATTAAGACAAGAAACATTTCCAGATAGTGAACGGGTGAAGCCTCCGTGGAGAAGTGCTCATTACTCTGTAGCCTCGGGCCATGTTCGCCGCCTCGAATGCATCCTCTATTTCTCTCTTCCCCTCTGTCTGTCTGTGTTTCGGCGCTGCCTGCGTTGCCGTGCCTGATGCCGTAATGTCACAGCGGTTCGTTCAAAGCTGCGGCGATGATTTGGGCTCCCAGCAGGTGCCGCCCCGATGTCTGTTCAATTATTAAAGCGGGGGCCACGTGGATGCATTACAGCCGCCGCACCCATTAGATAAAAAGACGACGGCTTTTGACACGGCGCATATTTCCTCTCTGCCCCACAAAGACGCCGCCGCCGCCACTGCAGCCCTTTCTTGTTGCTTCTTTTTGTTTTATTCATCACCGTTCTCATGTTTTTTTTTTTCCTTTTTAGTATGCATGGAAATATTAAAGAGCCATTTGTTCCCTTTCAGTGTTGTGGGCACAAGAGCTATCGTGATCTTTTTGATTCCCTCTCGTCAAGCTGAGGTCATGTATGCTCCTTGTAGCTGCCTCTCCTCGTCTTAACTTCCCAGCAGCCCCCCCGTCGCCCCAATCTAACCATGAAAACGGCCGTCGTGTTGATAAATAAATCATGTGGTGGACACAAAGTTAAACCTCGACACAATCGCTTCCAGCAGCCGCCGCCTTTCCCTTTCTCCTCTTCCTCAGAAGTCCTCACTTTGTTCAGCAGTGATTGGTCATCACAGCGTCGTCAAAGTCCTCGGCATTAGACCCTTTTGTGGCCGCATGAGCTTGATGCTAAAAGATGTAACCTATGAATTCTTTATCTGTTATTCCTTCTTCTTTCCTCTTTCAAACTTTACTTTCTTTCTGTCAAAGTCTGAGTGGCAGCAGAAAGTGAAATCTGTGTTTTCAAGAGAAGGGGTTTCAGTGGGAACCTCTGCGCCTTGAGAGGAAGCGGGACAGGGAACAGGTTCCGTGTGAGGAGCAGGATGATGAGATGCGGCTTCAGCAGCCTGAGAACATGCACGCTTCTGTACGACTGTTCAAGAATGATTTAAAAGTGTGAGAAAGAGAGTGAAAGTGTCCGAGGGGTAAAATGATACATGCATTATGTGTATTATATCTCATTGTATTAGGATTTAAATCTGATCTCCATCTACAGTATTTCTGTAGATATTATTACTTGACGATCCAGATATCAAGCGTTCTTGGATTTAATGTGACGTGTGATTGGCTCACTTCAGCATATGTGGAATTTCAGACGGGCAGGTTCACTTCAAAATTAAACAAAAGTCAAATTTCTTATAAGTAATAAAAGTATAGTAGTATCAGGCCACAGATGCATCTCTCAGCCCCCACACCAACACACCCCAACCTCTCTTCCTCTTCCTCCTCCTCCTCCTCCTCCTTGTTTGATTCTTCGCTGTGTGTTCCGTACATGCCAACAAATCCTAATTGCACCCCACACTCTTTTCTTCCCATCGATGCTGCGCGATTCGTGCCACCAAATTCCTTGTGTGCTAATTAGGCACGCAACCACGGTGGATACACTCCTGACAGGTGCTGCTGGCCTGCCGGGGTCACACACACACACACACACACACACACACGGCGAGAGACAGTCGGAGAGAACGAGAGACGCTCATGCTCACAGCATTAAAAATAAATGGAGAGAGGAGAATAACGAGAGAGGCAAGACGTGTTAATTTCTAGCTTCCATCTGTTATTACATAAGCACTGCCAACAACGACGCATCTCTGGAAGAACAGCGAAAGAGAAAGAGAGGAGGAGAGGAAGACAAGAGCTGGAGAAGCAAAGCAGCCATAGCTGAAGTCCTCCTGCATGGAAGAAGAATTCCTCTGGGAGCAGTACAAATCAGATTGATCGAGCAAATGCGCACTTGAAGATTCATTTGAAGGTTTCGCTTCCAAAACGGTTTGAACGCATAACCTGGTGTTCCACGCTCAAAATGTGACAAAATAAGAAGTGCCGTCTAAAATGTTTGTTTCTAAAGTTAAGGCCTCCAGAGAGATGGTGTCCTCACTATTGTGAGTTCTCAACAAGTTTGTAAAGAGAGAAACAAAGAACAAGTAGTTTGTGGATCAGTACCAGCATGAACTTTTAGAAACCAGCTTCTCATGTCTGTAAATATGAAGCTGGTTTGGTTAGCTTAGCATAAAGACTGGAAACAGCTAGCACTGGACCTACATGTTCAGTATTATTTCAGTTTGACACTGATCCACCTCTGCTGTGTTGAACATTTTCCACCAGCTCTTTCCAGCTCCAGCTGTCCTGTAAAAATAAATCCAGCGACAGAGAAGCCGTACCGTTTGTCATCTAACAAAAACAATCACCCGTCTGAAGGGACAATGGGACGAGCCGAGAAACAAAAGAGCTCCGCGGAGTGACGAGCACCCCAAAGGGCCGGTCCGGGTCTGTGCTGCGTGTTTTGGGTTGGGGATCTTTTTCCACCCCCGAGGCGCTGAGGCCCGAGACGTGTTGACGTCCTGAGGTGGCGTTGGTTTCCCGTCACGAGGTGCAGCAGACGGGAACGCTGTCTCTTTTTTTTGTTTTTTCTGGAAGGAAAGACACCAGGAGAGGCTGTGAATGTCTCGCATGTTTGCAGGGCAGATTCTTTCCCAGGGCGGAGGGACGGTCGCTGCCAGAATACACACAAGAGTCGTAGATCTCTGCAGCATTTCAACACTCCTCCGGTGATATATTTGGGGCTGCCTGTAGCTCTAACCGGCAGTGTGGGAACACATTATAATTGTTTGTTCAATTATTTTTCTTGGATGCCACACCTGCACTTCACCAAGTGAACTCCTGAGACCGGAGCGCAATTAAGGCCCTCAGAGCGGCGCTGATGCCGGTTTAAGCGGCGGGGAGGGAGTCTGATAAATACCTTTTTAGTGCTCAAGGTAACAAGCAAAGGGTGACAGTGAGGAGGCTCGCAGGGAGCAATTTCCTATTTATTTGTCTTGTGATTTGACCTCTCGCTTGACAAGGTTCCAGAGCTTATTACCGCGTCCGTCCTGCGCTCTAATCGAGGCCCATTACAAATGCTCAGCAGGCTGGAAGTGCCAGATGTGGGCGAAGGATAAAGGAGGCAGCTAGTTGTGCTGACCGGCGTTGCCCTCCTCTGAATTGTATCGTGAGGTTGGAAATTTCACGGATAAGTAGCTCAGATGTTTGCAGGAATTGTAAATTGTGTGTTCTGACCTCCGCTGGTGGTTTTTAATGAGAGGTTGTGCAGAGGTGTGAAGTTGTTTCAGAGGGAGGAGAAGTCCTGCCGAGCTGAAAGTGTGGTTCGTGTTGCATCTTTTATCTCCGGCTGCAACTGACGAAGGTTTCTATTGTCAATGAATCTGTTTATGTTCTTGATTGATCGATTAGTGTTTCCTAAAGACCAAGAGGACGTCCTCAAATGTCCAGAAAATCTTCACCTTTTTTAAGAAGATGGAATTAATCAATCCGGGGAATCAATTATCCAATTAATTGAATAGTTGTCAACTGATGGAGCTCGTCTTTTATTAGTTGTAGTCAGAAGATGAATCCTTCAACATGGTGTTTGTTCCAGAGAGGATTTGCTGCTTTTCTGTGATTCACATCATTGTGATGATTATAATAATTAGATCGTTTTGGCTTTTAGACGGTTAATCAGGCAAAATAAGCACATTTTTAAAAAACGTTTTCACTTTTAAGCTCTACAATCATTCAGTTAATTACGCACAGATTTCCTTCGTTTTTGACCTCCTGCACCACAAACTCCAACACTTCCTCTTTACTCTGGCGATCATTCACATCAAGTTCAACTCCGTGTCTCTGTTGGTGTGTTTGGGAATGACCGTTTACTTTCCCCGCGTTGGCAGTCAGCTCCTCCTGCACAGAGATGCCAGTCAGTGTTGCACAGTGTTCCTCTGCTTTACGCCGACTCTGCCTTCAGTCACACAGCTATCACCGCAGCCATGCATACCTCCCTCTATGCTCTCCATGCTCAGCGCCCCGCATGCATTATTCACAGCCAAATTAAAATACCGGGCCGAGAGTGAGAGTTGCATGTTAAGGCAGCTGAATCGGGGAGGTGCCGTCACAACAGCTGAAAGTGTCTGTCACAGAGTTATAACTTCTTCTTTTTTTTTTCCCATAGTTCCCGGCAGTGCAGCTGCCTAAATGAGAGGGATTAAGTTAACTCCCTGCTTAGAGGAAGAGCAGGCCCTGGATTAGGGCACTGGGCATGGACACAGAGAGCATTCAAGCAAGAGCCCCAGCTTTTTAAAGAAGAGACGAGGGGGAGAGAGGAGGCAGCGGTGCACGGCCCTCGCAGGGACCGGCGGCCGCGTTGCTTGAACAAATACATTGACATGTGTAACGTGTGTCGGAGCAAAGAGGGGGAACACTGGCCGACACGCCGACAATCACTTCTTCTCTTTTGTACTTCTTCCACTTTACGAGAGCACTCCTCCATCTCCTGTCATAACCTGAGACCGTCTCTCCTAGAAACACAAGAAGCATGTCCTCGTCTACAGCCGGGCAATAATAGATGTTATGCAGATCAATATGGCAGCATTCCTCCCGTTATTGATGGAGCCATGGACGCTTAGAATGAATTAGGTGATGGGATGTAGCAAGCTTCTCATTTACAATCCTTTGGTTTTATTAGCAGATTAGAGTGCACAGGTCATTGAATGCATCACAGCATCCCGTGTTATATTTAGTTTTTTTCAGCAAATGCTCCAAAAGTGAAACTAGAAGTCCTTCCTGCATGTTTTTGTAAAATCAGGACCTAAATATCTTCTTCTCCGAAGCTGTATTAGTAGAAACTTTTACTTTTTTAACTCGTCCTTCTGTTGCTGTTCAACAACCGATCAACGGCCAAAGACCTTGTGCTAATTCAGATAAAAATAAATGTATGCACCTGATACATTAATAATCCAAGCTGCATGTTTGCGCACTCTGCTCTCTGACAAACCCTTCACAGAGAGGAAAAAAACAAAAACCTGGGAAGGAGTGGAGACGAGAACAGGTGGTGAAACAGTGTGAGAAACGCGAGGGAGAAAAACAACAGACACCTGCTCATGAAACCCAACCTGGTTCCTCCATCACATTCCAGCAGAGTTGAGCTGAGACGATCCACTCAATCTCCTCCACTAAATCATACGGCTGACGGTGTGAATTCACGAGGCAGACATGTCTCTAAATGTTTGAGGAGATACACAACTCTTTTCTTATATAGTGGGGACCCTTTAAATAAGTACCCTCGTGTTAAAGTGGCCTTTAGGCCACCATTGCCACTGAAACCTACGCAGTCATTCTCAAAGCTCAAAGCTTTTTCTCACCAGTGCGATGAAAATACGATGTGCACACATCATACGCGTTATACCCCAAATGTAATGCTAATGTTGTGGCTATCCCCATTCCATATAGTATGTATATACATGTATAATATATATATATATATATATAAGTGTATCGTTGTCATCCATGTCTCCCACCTGCTGGGTGATCTCTATCCAAATACCCTGTGTTTGGTGTTTGAGGGAGTCGTCGCTCTGTTTGTCGTACTATTTTAGGTGATGTGAAACTTAATAAAACTTCTTCCCCCGTTTCCCTTCATGTGCAGTCAAGACAACGTTAATCAAGTGGATTTAAACAACTGGTGTTGAAATGGACAAGTGGATGATTTTCACTTTCCCAGAAACCTGCCATGTAGATTCGGAGTCGGTGGCATCAAGCCGGACATTTGAGTAAATAATATTCTTCTTCTCTTGTCGTCTTCTGGCTGCAGGGAGACGAACCTCGGTCACGTCAGCTCCGTGACATCGAAGCGACCGCGACGCCGCAGCAAACCGGCGGTGACGGACGCCTTTTTGTCTTCTGCAGTCAGGCCGGAGCGGCTGGCCCGCGGACGACTGTAATTGCACCGACAGGTGACACATATGTGGAAACCAGAAGATGATGTGGGAGACTCCTTAAATCACGTGACCTGCACCTCACATGCCTCCTCAGAGTACCGTAAGTGTCCAAAGAGCTCCGCTGTGACATTAGATGACATGTAGGAAAGGAACTGGAGACGCTGCTGTGGTTTGCACAAGAACGCTGCACATTGAAGACATGTAGGATGATAATCAAGGACAAATTCCTTCCATTTTTAAAGATTAAATACCTCAGCAGAATCAATAACAAGTGGTTGCGGTTGAGGTGATATATTGTTAAAGAAAAGCCTCTTGCCAACAGTAGTTTTTCTCAGATTTAAGACCACATTACCCATCAGCCCTGCTGCTTCCTGTCCCATTTCTTTCCATGTTAACGTGTGTTCCCTTCATCTTTCCTCTTTTTGCAACATCAGTGTAATTTTGTCACTTTTTTAGCTCTGAAACTAGCAACTTTGAGCCATAAAGCCGATTTATGTTGAAATCTAAAGTAGATTACAAAGTAAAGGGACAAACGCCTTGAGAGGCAGTGTTCATTGTATATCATAGTTAATGGGTTAAAGATCCTTCTATTCAGGTTTAGTTTTAACAAACGGCTTCAATACAAACTGTAAATACAGTAAATACTTCACTTTAAAAACTGATAATGTTGAAATAGTCAGTATGTATTTATTTGAACTTGACCTAGTTCCTCCTGTTTGGCATCACTTACTCCCTTGAAGTATCACATTTTCATGTCTTGATTCAACAATCATTGTCGCCTTATTATGACCACTTCCCCTTGAATTATCCTCTGAAAAGTGCACCGTTTGAAGCACACGCGTTGTTTCCTCGACAAGCTTCAGAGAAACCTTTGCGGAGCTCTTCGTCATCCGAGGACCAATTAGCAAACAAATGTCCCAGCAAACGAAAGAGAAAAAGCATATATGCTTGTGTATATGCTTCATTAGAATCCCCCCCGCACCCCGACTGTTTCACAGAGCTTGTTTTGTGCTGTCGAATCCCCTCGTTGTTTATTAGTCGAATCTCAAATCTTTGCCCAGCGTCTGTCTCAAACACATCTAAGCTAGCGGAGCTTGTGATCGCCCTCTCCTCCTCCAAACGGAGCGAAGAGCCCACAGGCCGAAGATCGGGATGCAGCTCGGTTTGAGCCCAGGGGAGGCGGGATCCGCTCCTATTTGTCAGAGCTTTTACATCGTCACTTTTCATCGAAGTGGCGGCGGGGGAGTGGAGGGTGGGGGGGGGCTCTAATGTACTTGCGCCGTCTTCCTCCCTGCATGAGTGTTTTCTGTTTGGCTGCTGTCACTGAGAAAAGACACATAAGCACTCGCCCTGCATCTTTTCACACACACTTTCTCTCTGAAACACACGATGTGCTCTCCAGGGCTGAGGATTCTCGCCTCTCTGTCTTTATCTGCTGGTAAATGTTGACAGACCGCTGAGCCCTGATGTCGGACTGTGACAGGCTCAGCTGTTTGTTTCTCCTTTTTTCTCACCCCAACACTTTACAAAGGGGCCTCTGGTGTGGTGGTTAGCCATCATGGCTGCTCAGCTCGCAGCGAGAGGACCTCTAATACCGTCCCGGCTCCACCGCCGAGGCGAGCGCTCGGCTGCGCCCGGGTCGGCCGGCTCGCAGACCATTAGGGAAATGGCTGAAGGGGTTTCTGGTGCTTCAAACCCGGCTGCACTGTTCACATTAATGAGGGGATTGTCAGCATATCAGAGCTGATGGGTGTGACGAGCGAGGCCCCAGTACGGTCCCGAAAACAGGACAGAATTCACTTCAGTGGAAAGCTGGAGGGACTGTTGTCTTTGGCCTAGTTTGTGCTGCTGCTGTAAACTTAAGTTTTCAGATGTGTATGCAGATGAATGGCCTCCATCACATCGTACCACCGGACTGTGATTTAGGACCACGAGAAAGTCAACAAAGGATCAGAAATGTCGGTAATTTATCGCTATCTCGCTTGTTTATTATTCAGGGGAAGAAGCATCAGGTCCTGACAGACGCATGTACGCGTGTTCTTTCATGTTCCTTCTGTGTTCATTTATGAACATGAATAAATACTAATATAATAAATACATGTGGCGCTTGGCGGCTCACATTACTGCAGTGTTTAATGGTGACATCTGTGTTGTGAGATTGATCCAACCTTGCAAAGTGAAGCGTTGTTCTTTGACAAAAAAAAGTTTTCTTTGTACATTTGTGACTTTATAATCTCAGAGAATATACATTTTTTTTATAGTAACTTTGATTTTTTTCTCAGAATATTACCCCCTTATTTGTGGCGTCCCCTGGCTTCATAATATGCATATATATCTGTATATTTTTAACACGATATCCCTGATACACCGTCGTCTGTTGGAGACTGAGTCTCTCTCTTCGCTGCAGTTATGCTGGAGGTGTCACGGCGCTCACCTCTCCTCCTTTATGCTTCCCCTGCATCTTGTCTTTTCGCTCTTGACTTCCTGTGGGAACTGTGTTTGTTGAGCGGTCACGTCTGAACAACCCGCCGATGCGACAGTCCATAAAAGACACAAAGACACAAAGGTGAGGACAGACAATGAGGTTGCGTCGCTCGCGGGGTCTCGACCCGCCGGGGGCCACCGAGCTTTGACGGTGACAGCGTCTTCCGTGGAGGATGTCGCCCTGACACATCGGGAGAAACAATGGAGACCGGGAGGATGTAACTAAGCAGATTAAATGGGAGTCATCGGGGTTCCTTTCAATGGAGATGAAAATATGTCGCACACTTCTGTGTTGCAGCTCTGTGGCATTAACTCGGCCTACAGGGACGCAGGAGCGAAGATTGGATTTCAGACCGGAGGACAATTTGAATGGCGTCCTCTGTGTCCATCCCTGGTGACGTGCCCTTGAGCAAGACCCTGCCTGCTTGAGCTTTTTGGTTGACGAAAAAACAACCACTTCAAGTGACTTATCTGCTCCTCTTCGGCTCTTACTTTGAGTAGCATGGTCCTGTATAAGAGGACAGCGAGTCTAGGACCCTCGCTTCTCTTACTGTCTTCAGTGTAGATGCTTCTTTAATACTCTGTTTTATTATTGTAATTAAGTTAGAATAATCAGTATGCGTTATCAGCCAGTCACATGTCAGAAACATGTTCTATCTATTCGGTTTTCTTGCATCTCTCTAGTCCAAACCATGGTCTTTGTGGAGCAGTTTTGTTTCCTAAATCTAAAGTGTAAACTAACACATTTCAAGAGGTCGTGGTCGTTCCACGTGAGCCTTTTGCAGCTGATTTTGGATTTTAAAAGATGCGCCAGGATGTTGACATACTTTACCGTCTTCTTATAAGACAAAGACTTCCTGTGTCCACCTGCAGTTACGGTTCCATGTTTTCAAAGTTAGGTATTGGAGCAGAGGTAACAGGAAGTGAGAATATGCAACACATCTAAAGAGTGTTGTGATGCGTGTGTTCGTAAAGCCAGCTGATTAGAGACGGTGGGATGCAGAGTTAAATGTAATGACTCCTGACCTCCCGAGCTCATCGTTTCCTCTCCTCGTCCTCTCACACGCCCGTCCACTTGTTTTTCTCTCTATCTCTCTTTCCCTTCATCTCAGGGAATTCACTTCACTTTAATTGTTTGACAGTCTTTTCCTGCCTTTATGCCGCGGCCGCAGAAGGTGCCGAGGATTTTTTCCTGCTTTTTTGAGGCATTAATAACATTCCGCTCGACTGATTCCCCAGGGCACCACCTCATTATGGCTTATAGGCAGAAGAAATAAACTGTCTGCACCGCCTGGCAGCTTTTTTTTCCTCCTTTTCTCAGAGAAATGAGGAGTCGGTGTAAAGTGCCCGCTTATGAAACAGTCTTCTTGTTGCTAACTAAAACACATGTCCAGGGTGTTATCTGTTTCCATGACAGGAAGTGACTGCCGGCTGCTGTTGACGGCAGTCTGCACTGGGTGGCAGCACTGTGGGTCAGATTACTGCGCACTGATTTCAGAGGCAGCATGTAGAATGAGCACAATTTAAAGATGTATTTTAGCTGATAGCAACACTTGATTTACCCCCCGTCCCCTATTTAGCATTCATAAGCATTATAACAATAATAGGGGCTCTCAGAAATCAACCCCTTATATATAAATATATCTATTATTTTTGCTTTTTTTAACAAGCTACTTAAAATAGTTGTGAGCTGATATTTTAATCTGTCAACCATTACATCTGCCTTTATCAGCATCCATCTCCATGACAAGAGAGCTGGAGCTGGAGCTGGATGCATGAGAACAGATTCCTGATTATGGTGTGATTTGGTTGAAAGCTCTGGGAAAAGTGGATCTTGAGCTCGTGTTATTTTGTCAAACTAGTGTTTAATACTACTAGACTATTATTTTAAGCTAAAGAAATGTATCACTCGAGTTCAAAACCTCACTTTGTTTGTGTGTTTTTTAATTAATCTAGAAGATGCAATACGTATTTTCTTTGAAGTGAGAAACAAGTTTAATCCAAACTTCTCTAAGTTTGTTTAGTCAATCATTGAGGGTTGAGAGAGCACATCAGTATTTTCATCTCTTATTTATTTATTTAAACTGGAAGCCGGCCAGTCGTCTTCTGCTGCTGGACACCCAGCAGCCCGGGGTCAAGTGCCTTGCCCAAGGGCAGCAGGGCAGCAGTAGGTCGAGTCAGAGAGTACGTCTTCACTGACACACAGCAGGAAATGTGCGGCTTTAACACCACAAAGGCCAGACGTGCAGACAGCTTTGAATTTTACAAGTGAAGTCACCTCTGTGACTTTTCAAACGTGAAGAATTTCATATTAGAACAACGTTATTAAAGAAGAGATAATCTGTTCATGACAAGTTCAAATATTGAAGGTCGGGGACATTTAAACTCTTTCAAAAGGAATGAAATGTTATTTTTCATAATGTATTAATGGAGTTCTGAATGGGAACTCCCTATTTCAGAAAGATGTGATCTAATAGTCCATAAAAACAACATAAGAAGTAGAATATCTATGGATACATGCCCTTCATAATAATGCAGCTTGATATTTTTTGAAGTCTCGGCACTAACACGAAATGACTGATCCTATGCAACGCATTAAAGTCTGAACTCTCTCCT